GAAATTCGCATCAGGACTGTCTATTAAGGTGGCACTTTTGTTCCGCTTTATCTGAGCTCTGTTTGTTGTTATCCTCAGTTGTATGGACGTACACATGCTCCCCCGCTCACCTCAATGCCGGTCTCTTAAAATGACGCGCTAAAAAGTGGACAGAATGGTCTTAAATCGGTCGAATGTCTTTTAACTATACAGGATCTAGTGAGAAAAAGGCTTGTCAGTGGGTGAATTGAACCCTTACACTTTATGTTTATGAAGCTTCGGTTTCGCTGGCCCTCCCCCTCCCCAGGAGCACATTCCGCCATCTGGGGTTAGAAGTCGGGGGATAGGTCAAAGAGACACGTATCGATCTGTAAATTTCTTGATATGCAAAGCAGAACGACAGCAAGGGACACTACTGCGCCTGCTGTGTAGTCAGAGAATCCTCAAGGCTTGGAATTATCCGTTTTGGGGTTTTACTATGTCTCAAAGAAAAGCCGAACTGTCAACTCTGATGAAAAATACGGATCTTTTCCAGATAAACCCCGCCAAAAAATTAACCCATGCGACTCGAAAAAGATTAGAGAAAAGAGGATATGAAATTTGTACTTTTAGTTTTTATTGGAGAGGGTGAATGGTTGGGACATGTCATTATTAGTTTGAATGAAAAGGTCCGTTTTTCGCGACCTTGGCCTCCAAACTAATTCACACAACTAGCTGTCCACTAAACATCGGTGTGTGCGTTTATTCTGCACCTTGTAGACTCTCCAAAGAGTTTCGATGGTTTGTGTGTGAGCTCCAGTCGTTGGTTGCACAAAGTGTTCGGTATGATTAACCGTTTCATGAGTATAATTCATGTCAATCATCTTTTCAATTCCTTGGTATGATTTCCACATATCGGAGAGGACAATTGAGCCGGGAGTGATGCAGGCCTGGATTTTGTCCACCAAATTGGCCGCAGTTCGGTCTGGCACTGCATTCACGAACACCTCTTTAGTTTCCCGACACACCCCTCCGAAAATCCACTGTTGGGGAAGCATTCGCTCTACGTGAATTTTACGGCGAGATATTATCGTTTCATCGATCTCGACGTGTAGACCTGGGCTGCCGATAACTGTTGGAGTCTCCGAAAGCCGTCAGGCGCAAACTTTGCGAAGAAAGTTCTTCCAGTCATCAGCGGTCATGTGGCTAATAGATAACTGCTCTGAGCAGAATTCGATTTTTACGAAATTTTTGGACCAGCAATAAATGATAGAATTACTCTCCTTAACTCCATCCTAAACCGGTCCAGCCAAATTGCCTTTCGAAGACTGATTTCTTACCTGCACTGTCGGACATTACATCGTTGCCTGTCAGAAACAGTTGAAAGTGTCATTTGTTGGCCATAAACGCTGGCAAAAACGTTACTGGTAGATCACTCCGTGGCTTCGCTAAAAACGTAATGCCGTCTCCTTGTGATGAACGAGAGTTGAAAGCGTCAGAAAGTTCATCTGAGGTTTTACGTCCGAACGGAGAAAATATTTGCCCAAAATGAGCCTAGATGCGGATAAGGAATTGTTTTGATCCAAAATAGGTCAAGGTTGTGTGCGTAGATTAGATTGGAGCTGGCAAAAGGCGGAGGGTGGCTTAACTTTTCGCACATGCACTTTTCTGCATTAGTGTCGGGTCTTATCTGGAATAGATCCAAGACCACGAACCAAACGTGGTTACACACGAGTACAAACCCGCCTGTTGTTCTGTCAAGATGACCTCGAAGGAGCTTGCGAGAACTAATTCTGAAATTTCCGACCCTGAAATGAGTTCACGTTGCATTCTGTGTTCGACCTTGGATGGTGAGTATTACTCATCTTCCCTGCTACGGTTTCTCTTATTCTACGCTCAGCCATGGCCCCCAACTGCAGCCTGCATTAGCCATTTCTGAGAAGTCATGTTAGGCGAGATTCCAACACTGACCAATGTTCCACCCGTGGATAACAAAGTCAAAGAGTTTTCAGCAACCTTGTGAGTAGTATGTCACGTCCAAACAAGGTCAAGCTGGTCAGTTTGAACTGTGAATAGCATACTTCTGAAATGAGTTGGAGACTCTTTCTTCTGGGCTCATCAAGACTGTTTACAGAATATTTAGACTGCATTTTTATGCATATGTTTCTGCTGACCTTTCTCTCTTTGTTTGCTTGGACAGCAAGCGCCGGTAACAATTCACTCTGAGACAGTTTTGACAGCCAAGAAGCATCCACCCGCGCCCCAGCACGCTTGAACATGCGTGGTGTTGACCCCCCGTTTGACCTCGACACTGTTGCTGGCCGGTATTGCGGTCAATTTTAGCCAGGAAATCGTTCTCTGTGTATCTTGGCTTGTTTTTTCTCTCTTCAATTTGAGTTCAGTTTAATTACGGTCACCGGTCCAAATTGCTTTATACGTTTAGCAACAGACTGTCGCGCTGACCTTGATTCAAGAGAGAAAGCAAAACAGGCCTAGTGACAGCGACCGCGGCAGAGCGGCAGCATCGGTGGAAGTGATGAGTCTGAGATGTGCACGTGCATACTTACCTGATCTTTTGTATTGTCCTAAGTGTAGATTGAAGATACAAAGGTGGAGATGAGTGAGTAACCATGAGGCGTGCGTGCGTGCGTACGTACATGTGTGTCTTATCGATCTGACAGGCGAGTCCAAAACCAGAGAGAGCGAGAGCGAGAGAGAACATGTTCGTGCACTTGAGTGGACTTGTCCGGACAAGATGAAAACGTGCCCCGTGCAGAAACACGTTAGTGTCAGCTGGTCACACCCGTTCCCCGCTATATACCTTGTCGACGCAGCGTCTAGGCTTGTCAGCGCAGCTGACTATCTACTCCTGACTAAGCAACGACCGTGGCACACGAGGTCAGGCATCATTTTTCACAGTCTGATCAAATGTCAACTAGATGATGACCTTAGTGTGATCCAAACGTCATCGTGTTCCTTTCCGTAACCTATGGGTAGAGTCATGTTCCTAGTGGAACATGAATAGCGCTTGAATGTGTGTCACTGTACATCAAAAACCTTGCCTTCCCTGTACTTTAACAGGCGCTTCATAACATACTACTTAAAAGGCCGTCGAAAGCTCTGGACAGCCCAGCTTCGTCTTTCTCGAGGCTCATTAGGTTGGCCTAGTTCCCGAGGGCCCGTCAACCCTGTATTCTAAGTGAACACCGAACTGTAGGCGCTCATTCATCTAGGAATCACACTTGTTTTCACGGAAGGCCTCAACTGATGTACTTCGGTTGAAACTGTCGTTAAAAGTAACACAGTAGAACCTGGTGTGGGCGGAAAATCAAGGAATACGTCTATCTGATGAGCTCCCGAAAAGGCGAATCCGGTCATCGAAAAGATATCAGCAACCTTATGAGTAACATATTCCTAAAGGAAAAATATAGTGCTCTATCTCGAATATCTTGCCAAACAAAACGTAGCGGGATGCCTTGTGCAGCAAATTTAGTTGGAGAATATCATAAACTGCTTGAGTCATTCGTTAAATTTAATGAAATTTGTGTCCCGCTTCCATCTCTCACGTCCTTGTTGCTTTTTGTCCCAAAGCAAGCTGATACAACGCTCTTGTGCTTCAAATCGGTATGTATCCGGGGCAAACTTGTGGGCTAAACTCGTCGCTAGTTTTTTCTCGTTAGTATGCACCAACAGAAGTCTTCCAGTTGGACAGAGTTTCCCGTTGTTCGCGTGTATGAGATCTCGGTGAACTTGCCGACCGGTCCGGGGTTCGAACCCGACCTCTGTATCTCGACTGGTTCTGTCACCCGACCTCGTATCTCGACTGGGTCCGGCCAGGCTTGAACAACTTGGCAACTGGCGTGCATCCTTCGGTTTAGGCACGGAAATTGTGTTACGCCTAATGACTGTTCACCTACTTGGCTGGGCACACCGAGTGAAAGATGTGAGGTGCCCTCGAGTCTTGAACCACTGAGGTTTCATAACCAAAGGCTAGCGAACCAAAATTGGATATATGTAGCTGAAGATGGTGCTTCGCCTCCGAGACAGATATGTATTCAAAACTCTGTATCACCCTGAGAACATTTCAACGTGGGGACTGCGAACACCGTGGCTGAAAAAGCCCATAATCGCAAACGTTTAAACAGAACAAAAACTGTTGTTCGCAACGTGAACTGAAACCCAGTGTTACAAATTCTCAGTTAATTCGAAGCACAGCCGGATCACTCTGAATAGACGAATTCATAAATAGACAGTGTGCGTACATAAATTCAATCTGACCTCGGTTGACTAGTGAGCAAAGAGTGCATAGTTACAAGATGTGGCCTCTGTGAGCAGCCGAACTGTACATCTTCTGGCTTTTGACAACCGCTGTTTCAGAACTCTAGCTCGTGTAGGAACGTGCTGACGAATTTTTGAACGAGACAATTAGGAAGCGAGTGTTCGGCTGTTCAACGGGGATCTCAGTCGAAGAATGTGTCCAGCACCTGGGGCTGCGGACTGCGCATAAAGGAAACTACTCACAAGGTTGCTGAAAACTTTTTGACAGCCCACGACCGGTTTGGCCCTTCTTGGGGCTCATCAGATAGGCACTCAGTCTCCGAGTTTCCGTCAGCCTTATGTTCTTCTTGAGCGGTTTTATCCCCGCCCAACTCGGAGCGGCGGAAGCAGACAGACCTGGCACAGGGGTAGGAAAGAGATCGCAAAAAGTCTGGGTGCTGTTGGTGCGACTCGCCTTCCAGGATGAGGTCCACGTTACTCCCGTCATGTGCAGGGTTGGAGGCGCTGCAAGGCATGACTGCTAACTGATGTCAGGGGTGTTCTTTTGCCCAAATGAGTGTCTGGATTGATTCTGTTCGGCTAGCAGTTAGTTTCTTCCCCCCTCGTCCAATTTTGTTCTTTCCTTCACAGTATGGTTTTTTTAATAGACTGTCATCAGCGTTGAACATTGATGTTGAGCTGTCGATTGTGACGAATCTGTCCGCGTAACACTTCGTCACATTGATTACTTCTTTAAAATTGTTTCCTCTCCTTCTGTATTCTAGGTCACTATGGTCCGAAGTGAGGATGCCTTGTTGGCTATTCGAGATCCCAACCCCTGTATCGACGGCCGAAAAGCAAACGTGAATTTGGCAGTGTTGGGTGCCAAACCGCGCCTTATGCCTGGAGGTAAGCCGCCAAACTGAGATGTACTCATCTGCATCCAGTACAACTTTCGGTTTGGTCTCTAATTTGTGAAAGTTAAAGACAGTCTGGTCTCAAAAAAAACGACGTGAGGCCAACACAGATAGGATAGACCACTGTAGGTCCGGCTTATCGGGCGTTTCGTACACGCGGAGACAATTTTTTCTTCGAGGGGGTCTTCACGACCTGTCCGTTTAACACACCTGTCCCCCTCAAACACTGTGTTTTGGACTGCGTGTCAAGTCAGTATCCGACATACTATCTGCTAATATTTATAGAAGGATTGTCTTTTTTAGACACAAGTTACGCTCTACCTTCATATGGGTTTGATTTCAACGCTTGTGTTTATAAAAAATCGTTCAGCTATAGCACCCTTTCAATGCCTAGCTGCCATGCCACTCAAAGAGAGTACGAGGGCTGGGATACTGCCAGGTTGCCCAAGCCTATACAGGGGGGAAGTCGAGAGGTAGAGGTCGGGTTCGAAACACGAACCTTCGGTTCAGTAAATTCGCGCTCTAACCACTTGGGCCATCCCACCCCCTCGTGTTTATTACACCCATATCCAAAATGCACCTCAGGCTTGTGATTTATGTGGCGCGTTGAAAGTGGACATTGAATCAGCCCCCCCCCCCCGGATAACGATATAAGCCTTTGGAAATGTCTTGACTTCATTTCTTACTTTGATAAGCGTGATTTACCGCATAGTTACTCAGTCTGTCGATGATTTCAAGACCCGGATCTGTTTGAGCTCGTGTTTGCTCATGCATGATGACAGCTTATCGAGATTCAAACACCTGGAATGTGAAAAAAATTGAGGTCACCGATTCATAGGTAAAATGCGGGGGGGGGGGGGGGNAATGCGGGGGGGGGGTGTTATTAATGTACTACACACAAAGCGCGCATTTGAGCTCCGGTGCTTATAGGCTGTCAGGTCAGATGTCACAGGCCGCGTCATGTGTGCGTGTGATTTGTTCTGACCTCATTCAAACCAAGTCATTTGTAGGCGCGGGGGGGTTAGGAACGTAGGGCTTAGGATGGTGTGTATATCAAATACCAAATAACTGATGAATAGGACTCTATTAAGTCAACCTGGATGGCACGCAAGCTGGGTTCTGCTCAAAAGCCGAATCGGTGGTCGCTTCAATAGAAGGGCTTGTGTAAGACGTGGTTCACAACCCAAGATCTTGCTTCGTACCAGTAAGGTTCAGGAGGTTAGCCTAAACTACACTGCACGGATTGATCGTCCTTGTGAGTTGGGTTTTAGTGTGTACGAATAGACACATGTCTGTCACAACCGAGCATCCCACGCGCTCGCACTTTGTATCAAGAATGATCCCAAAATGCTCGGTCAAAACAAGGCTTCCAGTGTTCGAGAAATACACTTATTTGTAAATCAATTTGGTTTTCACGAGAGACTCAACTGAATCTCTCGTTTGTGATATTCTACAACTGAATGTGCTGCACACAGGCCGCTTCATGATTCAGGTGGGACGATATTCGACATATCGCAGTATGATTTCATGAAGGAAACTACTCACAAGTTTGTTGAAAACTCTTCGACAGCCCACGACCGGTTTCGCCCTTCCACTTTGGGCTCATCAGGTAGGCGCTCAGTCCCCGAGATTCCGTCAACCTTATGTTCTACTTCAGCTAGGTTCCAGGTGAGTCTCCCGCAAAACCAAATTTGTTTGCCAATGAGTGCTTTCTGCTAATTTCGTGCGATTTGGTATCAAGTGGAACCCGTGACCCCGTCAAATTCAAAACAGCATTCACGCGAACCAGGATGGCAAACAGTCGTCTTGACGGTGAGCCCGTTGATACCGTGGTTTATACCTGAATCTCAAGGGACGTGTGTATCAAGCTTATAGTGTGGGCTGTTTTGTTATGTGGCTTTGACACTTGGCCTATTCGAACAGCGGAACTGAGACGTCTTCAGATGTTCGACAGTCGCTGTCTCAGAACCATAACTTGTGTGGGTTGGTGTCGGCGAGTCCGTAACGAGGCAGTTAGAAAGCGCGTTTTCGATTGTGCAACGGGTACTTCCATTGAAGAATGTGTCCAACACCAGAAGCTGCGTTGGTTGGGACATGTGTTGCGAATGCCGAATCATCGCTTGCCGAAGAGAGTGCTGCTTTCCATGCCCAATTCAGAGTGGCATAAACAGAGAGGTGGCCAACCCTTGACTTGGCAGAGGAGTATGAACGAGACCACGAAAAGCTTGGGTGCTGTCGGTGCTACTCGCCTTCCAGGATGGGTACCGCGTATCCTCACTGTGCCTGGTTGGAGACACTACAAGATATGGCTTCCAGCCGATGTCAGTGGCGTTCTTGTTGTCAGTCTCTATCCAGATTGCCTGAGTGAGTGTCTGAAAGTATAGGTACCTCGGAATGATTGTGGTAAGCTAGCACCAAGTCCCTCCCCCGTCCACCTTTACTCTTTTCTTTACAATATGGCTTTTAAATGAATCACGGTTGTACGGCAGTGAAGCATTCGTGCTGAACAATGATGTCATGCTGTCGATGATGATGATGATGATGATGATGAGCGTCTTACATTCGTAGTAGTAATAGGTGCCAGCCTTAACCAATGAGCTATTTCAAGTTCGAAATCGCACGGACTACTTTGAGTTTTCCGGTTTCTGATCGCAGCTTCGCTATTATCCAACTATTCGGTTATTCACAAAAACCAGACATTCTACTTCCATTTTGGCAGTAGTCATCTACGAGTCCGTCATTTAACATGAAAGACGCACGCCTTCCAACTGGATGCTGTGTAGATCTGTTCCGTTCAGAACAGCCGAGTCATTTGGTGTAGTTGGCACGTCACTCAATTAATGAATGAACTTATTTCTGACTGAATTGATAGTGAAGCCTACTGATGGGAGATGATATCTTTCACGGAAGTGGCGATAGAAATGGAGTTGCTCACAGGTAAGGGGGGTGTAGAGCGAGTGAACACGTTTTGGATTCCCGCCCCCCCCTCCCCGCCCGAAAAAATGAGTAGTCCAAAAAACTCTATGGAGATAACGACGGCACCTAAGTTGTCCCTTCCCGAAACCCGTTCTGTTCTGCGCAGTTCGAAACGCAGAGTTCATTGGAATCGATAGTCGATAATCTTGGTTGCAACCAAGAACCAGGTGCCCTGTCTGCGGGGACCCCATTTGAAACAGCCGTCCCATCAGCTAGCCTGATCATCATCGACGGCATGACGTCAGTGTTGCACGCCGATGCCGTACAACCATCATCAAGCACTATACACAAAATTAAGAGTAAATAACTTTCTGTAATGCACTACTCATGAGGTTGTTGAAAACTCCTAGACGGCCCATATGACCGGTTTCGCCCTTCTTCTCGGGGCTCATCAGGTAGGCGCGCAGTCCACGAGTTTCCGTCAACCTCATGTTCTACCAGACTGCTAAATAAATAGATCGCTAAATAACTTTCTATTCAGCTCATTCATTCTGTTGGAGCATCTGTCCACCCGGACAGATGCGGACGTCGAGTGCCAAACCGTGCGAGTGGACGAGGGCTTGCGTTTTTCTTCAACGATCGATTGTTTTGGTCGCCCGCACAAAATACACATGATTCATCCTCTGAATAGGCAGGTAGGTAGGTAGGTAGGTGGATAGGGTGCGGAGAACAGACAGAGGTGATTTATCTCGACCCTATATTCAACAAATATCGTCCTACATCGACAGCTGTTGTTCAAGTTTGTGTTGTGTAGGTGTGCGTCCACTCGATGAGCAGGGTGTGTGCGCGCACGCACGCACGTATGAAATGCTAGCTACTGGTGTAAGGGTCACGGTCAAGTACTTGTTTGGTGCAAAGAGGGTAAGAATTTGAATGGAATCTAACCAACCACTGCTAATTTGGCTTCATTCATACAGGCACTAACTAACTATGTCAACAACAAGAGCACTACATCACGCGATGTGACTGGCACAACATCCCTCTGTTGTGGACGATCTCCAGTACTCAAAGTTTGTCTAACGGCTTTCATTCGTGGCTTTTCAGGTGTTGCTTTTCGAACTAATCACCTGAAACAGTCGTTGAATGTACGACAGTAAACCGTAGACGGTGGAGTTGCGTTTCACCGTAGTTTAGGACTGTCTACTGTTTCACAAATTCCCGCTGCCATCTGATGGTAGAGAGCTCGTGACCGAGGGTAAAGGTTTGTATTTATCATGCTGTTAGTTACGCGTTATGAGGAAGGGATCAAAAACTAGCCTTCCGCCAGGACTTTTGTCACGTGACATGCACACATCTATCGATCAGTTCTCTCCTTTGCGTCGGATCAGCGCGCGGAATTTGATTGTGAGAATGACATTTCACAGAACGAAAGCATTCAGTAGACTACCCAAGTAGCATTCGTCATCGCTGCACACAAATCTCCCGTTCCCGCTCTCTCTTTCATCCAAACTGTGCTGGCGGTAGTAGGAATTTCGCTGTTCTCGCGGGCATATTTTGGCAAGACCACTGACAACGACTATTTTTTTGTTTTAAAACGCATTTTCGAGTTTCTGACCAGCTGGGTAGTGTAGACTTGGATGTTAGGCATTTGATTGGTAGGACGGTGAACGGCCGAACTTTGGGTCAACTTTGGAACACCAGTTGAGGTATTCTACAGATCCGAAGGGACACTCTGTTGGATTTTAGCTCATCAGTCTGATGAATTCGAAGTCCATTTGTATTGATAGGCAGTGCAATGCGTTCCACCTAACAATGCAAACAAGGACAAGGAGGGAGATGTTACAACTTGCTCCGTTCAGTATTCCTCAGATCCTCAGGATCATTAAATCGAGGAGTTTCAACGTCTGCGACAGAGGTAATTTCTAGTACCTAAATTGTTATTCCGAACAGGGAGACACAAAACAAACGGGTGTACTAAAGGAATGCGTTCGGTGGGGGGGGGGGCGGCTAAAAGAGAACCAAAGTACAAGGATAAAAGACCACGGAAGAGTTGCCTGAATCCAAACTGATGTTATTCTTCAATTGAATGTATTGTACAAAGACCAACTCATGCCTCAGTTTTTACAATGTTCGAGCTATCGCAGCGTACTTCCTTGATGCAGCCCCATTCATAAGGTTGCAGAATACTGTTTGACAGTCCACGACCGGTTTCGCCCTTCCCTCTCACCAGTTTCCCTCCAACCGTCCTTATATCCTGCGTGAACTCAGATTACTGCATCTCTTGAGTTGCACCCAATTTGGGCTCAACGTAAGATTGACTGAAAGGAACTCTGGGGACTGTACCTACTGGCGAGTCCCAAGATGGACGAAACCGTTTGTGGGCTGCCAAAGAGTTTTCATCAACTTTGTGAATAGTTTTCTTCAAGACGGGTCATCCTGTTCTACCTTCGTTGCGGCCGTCAGATGTTTTCATCTAGCCGGCGTTTCTTGTGTAATACAGAAGTAAAAAACCATCACTTGAACAGAAATTTGTCCGCTACATTTTGTGAAATGTCACATGAATCTAGAAGTGTTACAATGGGACAGTCCAAAATGGTTTAATAGACTGACTCTATATTAAGGATTTAACAGGGGACAATCAACTTTCCCGGCCTCAGACAGGATTTCGTTTGGGCATTGGAACCATTCTATGCTGAAAAGCTGAGAACTACTCACAAAACCCAGAGAGTTTCGAACCCGTGACCTTCCCGCCAGTCGTTGAATGACTATGCGTTCGGCCATGAGTATCCAATCATCAGTGTGAGTAGCTCTCACTTGGACAGGATATAGCGCCGCCTATCCTTCAATCATAAAAAATACATCAATTAGGCACGACGTAACCGGCTTTTCGAGTAACGACTACCTGGATGAAAGTCTCCCTCAAAAGCTAAATTTCAAAGTTAAATTCCAAATTAGTTTGCAGATGAGTGTATATTCTCTAATTTCGTGCAATTTGGTTTCAACTAGAACATAAGGTTGACAGAAACCCGGGGACTGCGCCTACCTGATGAGCCCCAAAAAGGATGAAACCGGTCGTGGGTTGTCGACGGATTTTCAGCAACCTTATGAGTAGTACACTACAAAAATTTCCTTCCTGTTTGCGGGCCGATCATCGCACGTTGGTCGCCCTCATGAACTCATCCATAATTTGTGCTAATCCATAACCGATTCTCGAGCACGCCTTGGTCATTCAGATATGTGATGAGCCGTCAAGCCAGTGTGTAAACCGTACACCCCAATACAGTCATCTGATAACCTTGGATTATTCAAGCGAACAAATAAGCAATTCACATGTACGAATGTCTTTCAAGACCGAGAACTTGATACTAGTTTTCGGCGACGTATCTACCATTCCGACTCTTTCGTTGAAAGTAGCGACTGACTTGTGCAAACTCTGGTTTAGTCCGTTAGTTAGATCAAGACCGATCTGAATAAACTTCAAGGAGAGAGAGAGACAATGAGATTCACCGTGGTGTCCTCGTTTGACCACTCTTAGTTCGAATTTTTTTTCTCGGTATACTGAGTTTAGCTCGATATGAAATGCAGTCCATGAGAATGGATTTGTTTGCTTACCGTGGTGTTGTGTAATTTACTGATCAAACTATCTCCGTGTGTGCGTATATGTCTGTTTGTTGGCCTATCTTATTCAATACCATGGCTAATTAGCAACGCTCGATCTGACCTGAGAGCTCGTCAAATTTCGCAGCTTCTATTTCAGTCTCAGGTCTTTCGAGTGGAAATAGGAACATCTACAGATAGCTGGGATTGCCAGTTTTCATGGTACAATTTGATTCAAAATAAATCGATAAGCCTGGTTGAGCATCGTGTGACCAACTCATGTGCCACTTTACTCGGTCCCGCATCGACCAGCATAACCAACCCGGTTGAACTTCGGCATCGAACCTACGTTTGTGCTTCACCAAGTCGGCGGTCATTAATACCCAGCAATTGACCTTACCACTCGGTGATAATTAAGAGATTAATGCGTATCAATCACTCACTCACACTCGGCTGGTTCATGGCCCTCGAATCGTATTTCGCTCACATTCAGTAAAAGGATGCCACAGCTTTGAACGATTATCACAAATTTTGTGATATGCACTGAATTGAGTTGGACTGATTACAGCTCAGATTCTATCGTATTATCGATCTCATGAACGTGTTTACGAGCATGTACTCATGCGTGTATTGATTGATTCTAACACCACTCGACGGCCGTGGAATGTCGTACGAAAACCGACGGGCAAACTAAACATAAGGGAAGTAGGATAGGGACAACAAGGCCATTGTTTCCTCCCCGAATATCATACAAATTTTTTGGTATGTTCGCGTATCTCATATCTACCCAACGTTTATATGCTCAACGTTTATATTTGAGTGGTGAAGTGACATCTGCAAAATTTATCAGA